GCCAGCAAACATTTGTTCTCAAATTGAAAGCCATCAACTCAAAACATCAACTGCTCGCACTAAATGACACACAGTATAACAAACTTGGGTCAACCACTGCGAAGCACTACCTACAAGCAATTGCTCAGTGCCATAACGAGCCCGCTTCCAGTAAACGGTTGTTCTCAAATTGAAAGCCATCAACTCAAAACATCAACTGCTCGCACTAAATGACACACAGTATAACAAACTTGGGTCAACCACTGCGAAGCACTACCTACAAGCAATTGCTCAGTGCCATAACGAGCCCGCTGCCAGTAAACGGTTTCTCGGATGAAATTATGTCCACAGTTACAAAACAGTGAGAGGGTTGACTTTGCCTTTAGCAAGCTCCAGAACACGAAGCGTCCTCGAACATAGCAATAGTTTGCACAGATCCCACTTCTGATGTCGGGTTAATCGCAAAGTTGTTCATCTTGCGGTAATCACGGTAATAGCGAATTACCGAATGTTGTGGTATGTGGCTCTAAGACAAATATTGCCTGTCACTCAATTACTTTATTTGTCTCTTTCCCTTTTATCCACACTCACTATTGCAGAGGAACAAGCTCGTCGTGCTCAGTAGAGTCGGAGTATAGACGGGTATCCAGCACCGCGCGAAATAAACCTGTCAAACTTCATATAAAAACTGATCCATCGTTTGTAGAGTATCCAGCAACCTAAACGAAATCCACAGAATCTACGAGAACAGCTGGTAGACAGGCAAGGAATAAATGGCTTACAATTATTCCTGGAGTGAAAAGTGAAATATGGAAGAAACAATTGTGTGCAAAAACGTAAAAAGAGAGTTAAAATAGATTGTCGGAGTAAAAAAAATACTTGTCCCATGCCTTTATTGGAAATTTAATAAATTTACTGAAATTAATAAAATAATTCTATATTTGCTCACTTTTGGCAATACTGGACACTTTGCGAACCGTATGCACTATTCGCAAATACCAAATGCGTTTTCAATGCAACGACCTACCATTTTTAATTTCAGTTGATCTTTCAGACTGACATTGTTTGCAAAACACAGCTGATTCATCAGCGTATCTTAGTTACGTTCCACGTACAAACGAAATATGTAGAAAATTCCTGACAGAAATGTTTCGCAGTGCTAGACACAGGCCTTAACGTGTTGGCGAAATCAGCTGGTAGTTTGACCGTTCGTGTCTGCTCCAGGGTCACACTAAGTGTGGGCGCGCTGATTTGAATTTGGGTGTAAGTGCATATTTGTCACACGCCTTCATGATCATAACACCACCATAAGACATTTTTACAATTTGGAATTAGGTCTTAATCCCGGATAATTATTATACTTTTGGTCATTTTACATTTCATAATACGTTTTATATTATTTAATATATGTATCTGTTTATTATGCCCAAATATTAGAAAGATCCCATACTTTTATTAGTCTGTCTTGGCCAACCGTTAAGAGAAGTTTTCGGTCCTCATCAAGATCCATATGAACAATTGAGTGTTTTACATCATTAAATGAAGCCAAGGAAGGTCGTTCGACTGTTTGGAGTTGTTTGTAACAAGGATCACAGCACCGCACATCAAACTCAAAGCCCATGATTGGTATATTAATGCGATTGGTGGAGCAATTATCACAAACAGCTTTACCGCAATGTCGACAATGATGCTGTCGAATTCCTGTCAGTAAGATAACAACGGTTAGCATAGAATAAAATGTAAATGCAATTTTGTACATGCCTAGTTGTTTTTGGTCCATCATTGAACGGAAATTCCAAAAAAAGGGTCTTGAACATAGCTGACAGTTGTTTGAGTCGACCCATCCTGGAACTTCTTTTCGCATTGCATTCATTTCCCAAAATACTACTACTGAATCTTCCCCACAGCTTATTAACTGTTGTGTTTGATTCGCGTAAGCAAGAGCCGACACTTTATTACTAGAAAGATATTTGGAAAAGTTATACTCCTCATGTATACAAAATTAAACAATAGTACCTGTGCCCTTGCAATTCGTATATGGTGCCTCGTTTTCCACCGACATCCCAAACTATCACAGACTGGTCGCATGCACCGCTAAAGAGTAGCTGTGGACCTTCTACCCATCTCAAACATCGAATTTCAGCTAAAAGGGGCGGTTGAAATAATATTCTGTATCATATGGGTTTGTTGAAACTGATAGTTACTTACCAGTATGACCTTTAAATGTAGTGATCAGTTGTACCCCTTGAACATCGCATCGAAGCATTGTAATTTGACCAGCATGGTCGCCAATAAAAGCATACTTTGCCAGTGCATCAAACCTAAGAGAGATAGTCGAAGCGAAGATGCACATACATATAATAGGCACAAGTAAAAAATATGTATATTGAAATTGTAATTACACATACGAATGTGGCGGTACCATTATAACACATTTCTAACCGCCAATAATTATTTTATTCGATTAGTATTTTCTATTAGCTTATTGCCTACTCTAGTAATTTAGATGGGAGTTTTAGCATGGTCAAAATGGACGATATGGTGTTAGCCGATCGGATATTAAAATTCCAAGATATTGTGGAAGCTATAGGCAACCACAGGGCTAATTGCTTTAAGCTTTAAACGATAAATAGGATATGAACAAGCTTTCCTAGAGGCTGAAACGTGGATCAACCAAATCATACCAGAGATAAGATCAGTCAAAACATAGGGGTTCTCCCTAGGCGGAAATAGGTTTGGGTCCAACGATAAAGTTATCTCACAAAAAATGCCTATTTTGAGGACCTCGATAGTATTACTTTTTGGAAGGAAGTATACAGAAAAAATGCTACAAAAAAGTGTTTTAGCCCGCCCTCGTATGTCATGGTATAGCCATGGACCAAGAATTTGTTTATTCTTTCTATAATAGTGATCGAGCGACTGTCCTGAACCAGGCTTATATTATATGATCTCATTCCACAAACATGTCGAACAAATATTACCATGAGTCATTACGTGCGAGACAAACCAATTAAATACTGCTCGCAAAAAGTTTCAGCGATTTCACAAAAAGGTGCAGCCTATGGGCTCACACACTAGTTGAATTAGCAAGGGTGCATAGGTGAAGTGTTTTTTATTTATTTTTCGGCTCAGCTTTCAGCTAGTGTGTTCTCGAGCCCTTATTAAAGTGATAAAGCTACACTGCTCACAACCAGCTTTGAATACTATACTTACTGAAGTGCAGTGCACGGCGTTTCAAAATTATATCCGCCCACTCTTTTTCCACTTTTGGTACAATGGTAGGCAAATTGCTTATCCTTTCCCGCAGACAAAACCCAGTTGTGAGTTTTTGTAAACACAACTGCAACAACTCGAGCCTGATGGGACAGATAATCACGTATGAATGATAAACGGTTGCAGTCTTCGGAAAGCAAGTATTGAGTGACTGTTCCATTTTCTTGACCGATAAACAAGTGACGGAATTCTTGGATATACTCTAGGGCCGTGCATCCAGAGGGCATATACTGGCAGATACTAGGCCAATACTGCCCAGAATCTCGTTTAAGCCATACACGAACAGTTCTGAAAAATAAGTAGAATTAAATAAAACGTAATTTGTCTGTCTGAGATATTCGCACTTGTCATCTGAGACGCTTATCACTCCATTTTCTCCCGGTATTAAGATTGCAGCATTAATATCATCGGTGCTACCCTCCAGTTTACTAAGCAATTCCGGTTTCTTAGACGTGCTGAAACGATCGTTTATGCTTCGCTGGGCTGGTTTTATTTCGGCAGCCATGATGTTAAACCCTCAACAATATAATTATTTAATTGAAAAAAAAACTTTTATCGAATTATAAAAACTTTGTTGTATGAAATCAAATCGATTTTGTTTCTTTTCATTCCATTGACAGATTAGACCACACACCGTTTGATCTTTTTTGAAACGAACGAAACGGAACATACGCTGTATGCTAACAAGCCAAATAAGACTGCGTCTATCAGCTTTTTAGAATGGCCAAGTTTAGGAGGAGTTCATTAACAAACACCTTGACATGAGAATTTTATATATATATATTGTATAATATTATACTCGTCAATATAAAAGGATATTTTTTTCTGGTGTTTGTTCGGCAAACAACACTTTTTTGCTTTCAAAATTTTCAGTAACATTTGTTTCTAATATTCAACATAAAGTGAAGTACCTGGTCAATGCGGACTCAGCGTCTGCTACCAACCAATTTCGCTTAGCGATTAAATAACAAAAAAAAAAAATATATATATATATATATATATATTGCATATGTATCCATCCGAAGCGGACTGATTTAATAATGCGGTACTTTCTCCAATGCTTTTTGTCCTCCAAGCTTCATATCTACTCTCAGATAATGCACTCCTGCCTGGTTTGATATAAAATTTGAATTTTCAACAGGTTTTACTTTTTAAACAATCACAAAAGAACGCAACCCTAGAGCATGCACTTGCCACTTTGCTCATACTGGGAACCGAGCCATATATATGGCACTTTATGTTGACATAAAATTAAGCTTCTCTCTGTATTGAGCTTATATCCTATTCACACTGGCGACAATCCACCATCCATTTCTGGTATGGTCCGGAAGATTTCCTAGTTATGAGGGAATCATCTTTGATGTTCTTAATATAATTTTCAAATAAAATCATAGAAAAACCAACCACCAACCAAGAAAAAACAGGAAAACCAACAACAGAACAAATTGGACATTGTCAGCACAGGATAATATCCTCGGAATCTGAGAATTATTTTATTTGATCTCTGCTAAACTCCTTCAGTATATTACAGACGCTGTTTGTCTGTATGCCAGACACGCAAGAACTTATCCTGCTGCTGAATGACACAGCCGTTGCTAAATTATTTGTACATATTTTAATTATACAAACATATTTTCCTCCGCACGGGATTATTAGCATAAGCTGTTTTTTCATGAATTGTGGATGGGGCAAATGTTAACAGGTGTTTCACATTTTCCAAATGTCCCAAATTGGAAAAGAGGAAAAACATCGATGTCCGCAGCGTTAGTCAAACTTCGATAACATCGATATTCTCCGGCTCTACTGCTTCAATACGTCTTCTATAATATGGTAATCCTAACTGAAATATAAACTAAGTTCTTTTAACTGTATCTTAATGTTTTAGTTACCACTGTCACTTTTGAAGACCGCGCAGAGCCACCCTATGGTAAGAAACTTTAGTCTTGTTATCTACAGTATACGCAAGTTTGACATTAAATGCCTCATTCTAATAATCTCTGTTTATATACATATACAGCTGGTTGAGCTAAAAAATGGGGAGACTTACAATGGACACTTGGTGAGCTGTGATTCTTGGATGAATATCAATCTACGTGACGTAATTTGCACTTCAAAGGTAAACAACAAAATTGTTTAGTTTTAAAGTCATGCAAAATGACATTGCAAACCAATTAAAAAACGGAGGAATGTTGTGAGGTACTTTTACACTCAGGACAAATATACACATGTATGTATGTACAATAAATACCGCCCGGAACGGACCTATCCGCTCTGCATTGGAAAAACCTCTGCCGCTCCCGTACAAGTGTATTACAGTGGGTGGTAGCAATACCAATCGCACGCAAACGCACTGGGAGAATGTGAATGTGTGCGTGCCGACTAGAGTCTAGTTTGAACACCTATAATTTAGAGTACGGATGGAGTATGTAAATGGAAAAATAATTTTAATACTCGGTACTTGAAGATTAATAGGGGTATATTGTATTTATGCTCAAAGAAACAATATTATTATTTTGACTAAAACTGGATTACAAATATTTGTTGTATTCTTTCAGGATGGAGACCGTTTTTGGCGTATGCCGGAATGCTATATTCGAGGAAGTACCATTAAATATTTGCGGATACCTGATGAGGTAATCGATATGGTTAAAGAAGATGCACAGGCTAAATCCCGAAATAGAACAGAGCTAAACAAAAATCGTGTTGCAAGCTCAGCACAAAATCAACGCGCAGCTCGTAGCGGTAGCCGAAATAATTTTGGAAACCGCAGCGGACAGTTAAGTGGAGGTCCTGGGAATAACACTCAGCGAGTAGGAGTTTCAGGACAAGGGAACCGACTTCTTGCCCAGAATAACAAAAATAGAAAATAAAGTGAAGCAAAAGCGTCAGTTTTTAGAAAATAAAAGTTCAAATACTAAATTAATAATAAACATTTAAATTATTATTATCATTCTCAGAATTAATTTACTGATCTGTGGTTTATCTGCAGCAAAACCAACTTTGCGATTCTACATATTAACTGAAGATTTTTATTTAAAAAATAAATAAAATGAGATTTAATTGTAAAATTTAATTTTTGTGTGTTGATTTATTTTATTAATTTATTTATTTACTTCAAGGCAGTAAAAATAATTAATCATATCTTGTTCTGGTTTATTTTAAAATTAGTTCGTTTTATTCATGTTAAACGGTCCTATATAAATATCGGTCGGACCAGAGATTTTACAAGGGTATTCGGATGGAAAGAGAGCTTGGCTTTATATTTTGATTTGTGTGCCATTATCTCCTCTTATACTACATAGTTTCATGTTCAAGCCTGTGGATATATTTCCGGAAGATAAATGTTTAGATTTTGTTTCATATCTTGTAGCCATAGCTCCAGAGTGGTTTCAGCACGGAGTTGTACACGAGGTCTGTATTAGTCCTAAAATACAAAATACGAAAAATGTATTAAAAACAATCCAATTTATTAATATGAAAAAAATATAATTTTAATAAAAATAATAAATTAAACAGTTAAACGAATATTTATTGTCAAAACAAACTAATCAAAAACAAACTTTTAGTAAAGTGTTTTTTTTTACATGGAAATTTTCTTAATCCACTCATAAGGTCTGAACCAGGGAACAATTTGAAAATGCGATCAGTATTTGTTGTTGTTTGCAAAAGTGATTAACAGCTTAATAAGCTTAATAAATAATAAAACGGATATGTTTCCACTAGACTTGCTGTCTTTGGAGCATAATTTATCTGCATTTATTTTATAACCAGAATTTAAAGACTGCAAAGTGTTGGCGAAGAATCTGACTTCTGACGACCGCAATATTTAGCCTCATCCAACCAATCAGTTTTTTTTCAAGACGGTAAAGCTCTCCACAGTCTCAAGCCAATACGAAAGGCTCTTCAGAAAAGACTTCGTAAGGTTGCAGTCTGCCGGATGGCAAATTTTTTGGACAGTGTCTCGTGCAAAAGCGTGCTATCTCGGAATTTCGCTTTTGCGCCAACTGCAGCTCAATAAGTCACCCCTGGAGGGGTTGGGATTATCACACTAAGGTTACATGAATGTAGATACACATTTACTGATTGGGTAACATGTATAAAAGATGTGACGCGTTCAAAGCGTCTCACAACGCTCCTCCTCGTTACTCTTCCAGTACCGGTTATAAAAAGAAGATGCTAAGCCAGCACTAGGTTTGAAGTGTCGACCTGTCGGCTAGAGGCCAGTGCCCGGCAGCAGGTATTCACATGCTCGCAGAGCTTTTGTGTGCGAAGCCAGTACGCAAAACGGAAAATTGAAATTTATTGGTATTAGTACCAGTAGTAGTACTGTAAATACACTTGTACGTGAGCGGCAGCGCAGCAGTAGACCCTTTTCCTATGCATAATAGATAGGGCCGTATCGAGCCCTGTATCAAAGACACAGCTCTTTTTTATCAAATTTGTTGTACCCACTGCCCATTTATTAACAGATTTAAATTGGGGTGCAGCTCATAATTTGTGAGGTTGCCAAAGATCTGATGTTTTGACCTGCTGCTGTTTTCGTTGCCGCTTTAATTTTAGGCTACTCTTCCTTTGATAGTTCGGATATTAATGGACCACATGTTTATTACATTAAATTATATTAAATAATTAATAATTAATTACTAAGGTATCATCATCAATTTTCATTGTGTCGCACTTTGTAACTGGTAACGCACTTACAAAAATACATGTAACAGATTTCGAACATTTTTGAAAGAGTTTGTCCAACATTTGAATGTTTCCTTAATTTACAGCACGTTTATCCTTATTTAAAACCTGACAAATGTTCACATATATTCTCAAGTTTTAAAGCCTATTAGGCAAACTCCTCCCACATTCCGAATTTTACTTGATTTGATTAATTGCTTTGTTTCCGCCTAATGGAATAAGTGTTTTTATTTTGGAATGGCCATAACCAATAATAGTAGAGTATGCTCGGAACGCTGGGGTTGCAACCACGTTGAAAACACAGGGGATGGTAAGCAGACCAATGGGAGTAACTTAAAATACCGTAGGCAGGGCTCAACTTAATGTTACAGGTCTTACGTACATTGTATCAAGGGTTGAAGTTTAAATGTTCTCGAAAAAGGTAGAGCAATTTTCCATTTTTATGGAGGTGTGAACATTAAAATTCATAGATCCTACTTAACATAATCGTAATCAAATTTTAAATAATAATAATTTTTTTATAATTCTAACATCTGCTGTGTTATCTCTACATAAATGTAGAGATGTAAGAAAATGTTGTTTTTCTTGTTGTTGTTTTCTCCCATAAAATAGTCCCAAAGATGGGATAAGGAGTCACTTAATGACATGCGCAGAAGTAAAGAGCGAAGAGGAGTTTCATGATATTGTGATTAGGTACGCTATTGGCGGTGCTTGTAAAATAGTCGGAAACTTAGTTTCGTTACAGCAACTTAAGCCAGGCAATATAAGATATAGATATACTGATTTTAACTCCAGTGACTTTGACCGTTTGCAAAAACCGGTGCAATGGAGAAATTGGCACAGTTTGTGACAAAATCTTTCGAGTATAGTTTAATAAATAATCGCGTTAACGATTTGTTTAACTCAATGACCGAAGTGCAAATTCAAAAACAGTCGGAAATTAAAACTTCTACCCTTGTAAAATCCAATAATTCGGTTGAAAGTTATACCGATAATTACAATAGTGATGACGAAACTGTAGATATTGATATCACTGATTTCTCTGTTGCGGAAAATAATGCAATGGGAGATTTACAGAAACAATCCCCTAGTGACACATCAATAGAAAAACACTCCTTAAGCTCGAGTAAATTTAAAACAAATGTGGCGAAACCAAGAAACTGGTTAATATCGGAGGAATTCCAGACGGAAACCAGGTCAGGAGGTAAAAGGAAAACAATTTGTATGAATCAACCAAATCTCACAATTGAATAAAGTTAATTTTTTTCGAAAGCTGCGGATAACTTAAAATATACGCGTTTTTTTATTGCATTGCACTGCAATGCTGAACATTAATATACATGTCGCTTGAACGCAGGGACTATAATCGTCTCAAGTTTAATTAATAAAAATAATACAACAATGAATTACTTCCAAGTTTTATTCACTCATTTACAAAGTAATAATTGGTTTAAATTTGTACTTTACAACTGAACCAATAACACTACTCGACAAAATTGAATTTGGGACATTGTTTAATTGTTTAATGTTTAATGTTTTTCACTTAAATAGCTTTAGTATCTTACATCTGGTTGTAAAGAACTTTGTCATTCGGAAAACTAATTGATGCAGCTAGAAAATGGCTTCAAGCACTTTGTGGTTTCAGCATGCCGCCTGAGAAATATATATGTATATATAAAGTAAATAGTGTATTTACATTGCATTTGTGGTAGAAAATTGTAACACACAGAAGGAAACGTTTCCTGTCCTTAAAGTATATTCTTGATCAATATCAATAGCCCTCGATAGTAACACAACTCGACAAAATTTAACTTTTTTTCCCACAAGGAACCATATACATAGGTATTTCTGTCTGTCCGTCCGTCCGTCCTGATAAGCGCCTGAGATCATTAGAGCTAAAACAACCACATTTTCCATCCGGACTTCTGTAAAATCACACTGTTAAAAGAATATTTTAAAATTTGGTCCCGTCCTTTTTTCATTAAGGCAAATATATCTTACATCCACAATTTTAGAGATGAGAGAATACCAACGAGGAGGAACGATGTGAGACGTGGTGTAACGCGTCGCAACTTTTGTCCCCAGTACTTCGTCAGTATATAAGTATGAATATGCATATGTATGGAATTAATGTCTACTTTGTGATTTTTTTTCAATTTTCGTTTTACATTTTTTTTACAACTGTTATCTACATTGTCATTTTGTCTTTAATAAGGATGGGATAGGATTTGATAGGTATGGCCATTCTCTACGAAACTGCGTTTTTAGTTGTCTCCTATCTCTAAAATCTGCGGATGTGAGTGATTTTCTCCCTTTTTATGGGTGGAAGGGGGAGGTGAAAAATGTTGATATATGTACTCTTTTAACTGTGTGATATTTTTAAACAAACTTGATTGAGTGTGATTAATCACACAACATTTGGTTTATCTAGCTCCCATAGTCTCTGAGGAATAAGTAGGCATCAAACAAGACGTTAAGCTTAATGAAGACCAAACAGTCTGGAAAGTTGAAATAACCAATCAATAATATATGTTCCTTATTTAATAGGAATGTTATTTTTGTCAAACAATTGTTTGTCGAATATTTTCGAGCACACTACACTCAGACCGTCTCCTTCTCGACATACCCATACAATGTGAACCACCCTTCCAAAACTGTGCAAAGAAATCCTACATAGATATAACAAAATAATAAACACATTTTGCAGAACTAATTCCTGGTAATGTAAGTGACTCTTCAGACGACAGTAGCACCACAAAATTTGCATCTGATGAACTTACTATGGCCGAAAAGTGTAGTTCTAAAGATCAAACTACAATACGAGAGCAATTAAAACATCACTCATCTTTAGTATGCAGTAATAAGCAGCGTCGATCACGAACAAACTTTACACTCGATCAACTTAACGAACTGGAACGTCTTTTTGAAGAAACACACTACCCTGATGCTTTTATGCGAGAGGAATTGAGTCAGCGATTGGCTCTTAGCGAGGCCAGAGTGCAGGTAATTATTTAAGCAAAGGTCATATATTTTCTGCATATTAAGATGTCTCACAAAGTGTCCAAAACAACCCTGCTAAGAACCCTGAGCACAAATTTGTTTTCTAATACCCGTTACTCGAAGAGTAAATAGGGTATGTTGTATTTGTGGTCGAAGAAATGTGCGTAACGCTAAGAAGGAAACGTTTCCGACCCTATAAATTATATATGTACATATATTCAGTATCAAAAGCCGAAGCTATTTCTGTCTGTCCGTCCGCAATCAGACGCTATAGGGGAGCTACAGCCATCATATTTTGCAGCTAGACTGCTCATACCGTATCACACAAAGAGCGCAAATCTGTCATGTACACAATTCTTAAGATACAGAAGATTGTATGCTGAT